TGTATGATGATATATGATAATTTAAAATTTCACAAACTTTAAAATACCAATTTAAGAAATCTAAAATTTTGAAATATCGAATAAATTTATTGAAATAAAAGCATTATGAGGACATCAATACAAATATGACCTAGGCGAGAGCATTGTCGGTCTTTCCCATCATGTGGGGCAATTGACCTCCAATACGTTTCGTAACACCAAGTGTCTCCAACTCCGGACTCCAACCGGATGGGGGTCAGTCGCGCAACTACGACCTCAACTTGGTACGTGCATCACTTTACACGCCAGTCACGAGATGATACGTGGTAGGGCCACCGCTGATAGAAAGCAACAAGCATCACTAATTCTATTTGTACCAAGTTAATACTTACTTATACCTTTATATCTATACTAATATAATAAAGCGTAAACACACGCTACTTAGTGGCGTAGAATTTCCGCAATAATAGCATGTTTTTGAATATTTTTTTTCTTTAATAAAAAGACTACACTTACGACACGCTTTAGGCTATATATTTTTACTCAAAAAGTTGGGCGTAAATATAATAAATTGGAAAAAACCATGTGGGGAAAGGGAACAAAAAGTACAAGCTGCCAAAATTAAGGAAGCAAGACTGTCAAAGTTTGTTATATCATATCATTTTGACATTTGCAATTGATAATTTGACACGTAAACAAAAATTTTCATAATTTTATGCGGATGAAGCCGCACGAGAACAGCTAGTAGATAAACAAATGCATTTAAACCGAATAAATTGTTTTGAGTATTGAATATGTACCAAATGGCAACGTACTCTAGTCTATTATGTGTAAAGAGAGTTTAGCAAAGGTCACATATTAGTCATTCGCATTCATTAATAAGGACATATTGATTGCATTATCAAGTTTTGTTTACGCGCCTTGTAAGAACAACTTTCCATTTCATACAGACGTAATCGGTTTCGATTATATCATAAATGTTTATATTTAAACATTATAAGTGAGCTCTATTCTTCATTACTCTGTGGACTTATATTTTGTACCAGATTGTGAGAACCGTCGTTTAAAATGTCATTAGAAACAGAAAACAACTGTGGAAGAGAAACTTTTCTTTTGATGGTTGATCAACTAGCGATGCTTTATTGTAGAGGACAGTGTAGTATATTTAGGGAAATAATTTAAGAGTTCCCCACTCAGAATTTAACACGATTCAAGATCGCTATCAAAATAGCAACAGCAACCTACATAAGCTTATTCTCCGACAATTATTTTAGAACATTTAACCCCAATTCGCATAAGCTCTTTTATAACGCGATCAAAAAACGCTGAAATAAAATAAATGCACTTATCCGTCTATACGGTCGCGCATTTCCGATGAACGAAATAATGATTTAAAAGCTTTCGAATAAGCTAAAACGATAAAAAAGACAATGCCTAGCATTAAAAAAGCGCTTGTACGACAAGCCAAGTCTAGTCAAGTTGCCTTTTATTCGAAATTCGACCCAATTACATACTAACAGACGTTATTATCTAAATCGCTTTATGCATTTTTTTTCCAAGTACAATTTACATGCAAAAGGATACAAAGTTTTCGCTTTACATCTTAACACATCTTTACTAAGGAAATTAAGAGGAAAGATTTGTATTTTTGTGTATATTTAAAATAACTTAAAAACTGCTGGGCCGGTTTGAGAAATGCTTTCATAATTAAGAAGCTACGTAATCGCTGAGTAACATAGGCTATATTTTAAATTTCACGTGGACGAAGTCGCGGGCGAAAGTTACTTTTCTATAATCCCATGAGTCATATGACGTCATAAAATCTTAGTCAGGTTTGTCGCTGACTTAGTTAAAAGTGTTACGTGCTGGCGCGGCAACCGCATAACGCAACGCCTTTCGTAACACCAGTAATGACTATTTTAATCTACTTCTATCCTCAAAACAGGAAACCTGTAATCTGTTCACAGAAAAAACAATTTTTTGAAAATTTAAAAAAAAAGCAATCTTGTATGCCTGCCCATATTCATTTTAGAATATTCCTTATTAACTAACTAGATTTTCCAAGCAACTTCTGAGCGGTATTGCAAAAACTTAACAAGTAATCTTACTAATATTACAAATGCGAAAGTTTAGATGGATGGATGGATGGATATATATTTGTTAGAGTTTGTAGCCTTAACGGCTGAACGGATCTCGATAAAATTAGGTATAGATGTAGAGGATAGTATGGAAGAACACATAGGCTACTCATTTTTGTTTTTTTTAATTCCACGCGGACAGAGCCGCGGGCGAAAGCTAGTAAATAAATAAAACACCTTTATTGTTGTCATAAAAAAATAGAATACAGTTTACAGCCTATGGTTTTACTAAGCTACGTTCCATATCTGTGCCAATTATCATCGAGATAGCAATAAACATCCATCTATGCAAATTTTCGAACTTAAAGCATACCTAGCATTAGTATGAAGTATGTTTCGCCGGAAGAAAGATATCGCCTACCTTAATCAGTTCAATCTTAACATATCACCTTTTATGTGTATTTGTATATCGCAAAGTAACGTCTTGAAAACATTTAATGTGTTGCTATTAAAAAATGAACTATAAATAAACTTGTTCACACAAAACTATACACAGGTATAGCTACTACAGCAATTAAGAGTAATAAACGATATTGAATAATGATGCCATTAAAATTATACGTACAAGCTATATTTTTAAGGAATAAGGAAATCCAACGAGAATACGTTATCTGATGGTAATTATTTTAAACATTCATACAATTCTTAAACATATACAAATCCTGAACACGAATTAAAACATGTTTTCTGTAGCATTTTTTTTTCAAAGCTTGTGTGACTGGCACTTGATAAATCTTGAAACAAGAGCGCACGCACACTTTTGACTAAACTATCGCACAACTGTTTAGTCGCACTTTAATTTCTATGGGAGCTTATATAGACGTACACACTACTTGATTTTTACTTGTCCAAAACACTTGAATGGGGTGCGAAACAATCCACAATCGAACAGTTGTGCTATTGTTGATTGTTTCAAGGGTGTGCACCAGCTCTAAAGATTTTTTTATAACATAGGGTGGCAAACGTGCAAGCGCCCATGTGAATCCGCCGAAATGGCAAAGCAACCGCTGCCCAAAGACATGCGCAATTGCAGATGCGTTGCCAACCCTTAATTGACAGAGAAGGAGACGCAAAGAAAAAGGATCTGTCCCCTTTCTGTGCGTCTCTTCCGCTGTCAATTAGACTTTTTCTTCCCATCTTTTGCTCTAAAGAAAAGAGTGGAAAGGAAAAATGACTAAAATGAAGCCTCCGGCATCACACTCAGCAGAAGAAACGCGGAATTGCTCCCACTTCACACCTGTCTTTTGTGTGGTCGTGGTATTGTACCGGGCGAGTCGACCCATTCGTACTAAATGTTAAAGCGGGGTCTACCACTGTTAGATAGATTTATAAAGGCAAATGCATGATAGAAACCAATTAACACCACTAACCTAGATTATGATAGACTACAATATACTGGATAACCTTCTTTGAAGTTTTCTATTTCAGGTTCAATGATAGACCTTGCATACTTATCAATCGATTGGATTTTCCCTACAGAATTAATTAGACTAGCATAATAAAAAAAATACGAGACATAAAGCAAAGATAAAAGATATACTTGAGGAAAACGTTTATTTCGTTATCTAAAAACTTACGCGTAATTTTGATTCCGTGCGTAATTTATAAACATGTCCAAGGATAGAAAGTTCATATAACATGTGTTGTTTTACCAACATATTAACAAATAAGAGAATTACATAAACGGTAATCAGCATCTCAACCATCAATACGTTGACAATCGTTATATGGAAAAAAAGAAACTAATGTATTTGGATCGTAATAAACGTTATTTGCAAAAATCAGAACATAAGTTTGTAAATTAATGTATTACTTAGAACTTTCCTATAAAGAATGATTTCTATAATAATGTATCGGATCTTATCATGATTGTCCCAATATTACAATCTATTGGGCTTCAAATCCCCAGCTTTGGTATAGTCAATCTATTTAAATGTGGACCGTGCAGGACATTACAGAATATTTTAAAACAGAACTTTTAGGCAATGTAATAAAAATAGGAATACAGTTACAGTCGGCACCAGTTATTTTTCGAAAAGGCTAAGAAAATGAACGCTTACTAAAAAAATAATACAATGATACTCACCTCCAACGACGAAATTCCTGGTGAATATATCAGTAGTATATTTTTTATGTTTCACAAAACACAAAGTCTATTTTTTAAAATACATTTATCAAACGATAATTCACACTTTAAAATTTTACACGACATTTACGGATTATGACAGATGTCAAAATGTTGGCGCCACTTCATTATTTTTCGTTTTCGACCTTCGAGAAAATATTATAATGCAGTAACTAAGTTGTTATTGGTGTTGGTGAGCGTCGATAAACAACGCGGTATATAACGCTGTACAGCAATAGCTTTACGTATTTTTTTACTGCTGACTTAACTTTTTTAATTTAGTTCTTTATCCAAGTTATATAACCCAGTGTTATTTGTATTAATATTTTTTGTGAACTACTTTACGTTGTTTTTACAAGAGATAAAATATCCATCTACTTTTAAACTACCTGCAACCACCAAATAAACTACCTACATTTTTATTAAGTTAAGACGGACTTTAACTGTTCACCCGAAACCGCACAGCGCTTTGTATGCAAAAATGTATGAATGCAGAAGAGGCGAATGTCAGGATCGAGCCAAAAAAAGGTACGTGGTTTCTGCCTACTCCTCTAAGATACGGCCGTGATTATGTTGTGTCTTTTTATACATTTACATAGAATTGATTGTATTACAACGACATCTCTTTGTGTAAAAATGATCCCAAGAAACTACGTGTCACAACTTAGCTGTTGTAAAAAGATAATCATAGATGGCAGTATTGCTTTTAAGTTGGTTATCAAATAATTTAAATGTCACATGTCATTGTGACAGTGACAGATGTTAGTATCATCAAAATATACAAATCAAGTGGTAAACTTGTAATTTTTGACTAAACTAAAGAAAAAAGTTTATCTTAATGGCTAAACTTCCACCAAAGCAGAAGAAAACAAAAAGCGTATCCCGTGAAGAGCTTCTTAATTTAGATAAAAATGTTCGTTAGTTTTTAAGTGAGATAACCTATTAAAAATCTTGAGCTAATAATATTTTCTGTTTTTAGGACCTAGTTGATAAAATAATGCAACTAGAGGCACATAATTTACAGTTAAAAAATATTATAAGCAAGAAAAACAACGATGCTGAACAGATTTCTAGTGCAGGAGTAAACAAAAAGCAATTTGATTTTAAGAAGTAACATGTTTGCTTATTTATTTTAAATTATTTATGTTCAATTAAATTACCATATCATATATACCTTAGTATCCATATGAATGTGCTTTCTGTATAAAATACCTTTAGCTTTAATGCACTCCATTTTCTAAAAGTATTACCACTTCTGGTAAATGTGCAATGTTACTTCAGTTTGGACAACCTCTCAAACCTCCTGTAGATCGTGAACCTTTTTACCTTAACTGGACTATTTCGGTAAATTTCAGTTCTACATTTCAGATGTCACTTACGAAGAGTCCTTTTAAGAATAGTATATTTTGGTTGGAACTACCAAGGGCTGGCAGTGCAGGAGGATACAACTCAAACTATTGAACATCATTTATTTCATGCTCTGACCAAGTCATGTCTGATAGAAAGTCGGGAAACATCTCAGTATCATAGGTGTGGTAGAACGGACAAAGGTGTTAGTGCTTTTGGACAGGTAAATCTTAACTTATTTTTATATTGCAAATTAAAGAAATGTAAAGTGTATTTATTAGAAGTAAACATACTTTTTTTTAGTTAAAAATATTAAGCAGTTTCAACGGTAAACCAATTAGTTAAAAAAATATTTTTTCTAGGTCATCTCAATTTCTCTAAGAAGCAAGCATTCCACAGACCAACAGAATATTCCGGAATCCATAAGTTCAGAGTTGCCGTACTGCAAGACCTTGAACCGTCTCCTACCAAAAGACATTCGTGTGGTAGCATGGATGCCAATACCTGATGATAGACCTGACTATAGTGCTAGGTAAGGTAATTAAAGAAACAAAGGTCAATTTAATGCTTTTTTCTGTTGATTGTAAGAAAAATTGGATTTGCTGTAGATGTAAAGAAAATCACTTTTTTTTCTATATTTACCATTTTAGTCAAGCTGGTCAACATATGCAACTTTTTATCATAAACTAGCTGTCACTCGCGATTTCGTCCAAGTAAAATTAAAGTATAGTAAAAGACTAGATGTTCCCATGCGGCTTCATCCGCATGAAATTATGAAAATTTTATTTTATTGTTTACATTTGTGAAATTATCAATAGCAAATGTCAAAATGACATGACATGACAAGCCTTAGCAACCTTGTTTCCTTGATGTTGGCAGCAACTTATGGTCTCTTTCCCACATTAGGGTTTTAATCCAAAATATTTACCCCCTAAGTTTAATGGCGTTAAAATATATAGCCAAAAACGTGACGCAAGTGTAGGACTTTTTATTAAAATAAGAATTATTCAAAAATATGTTGCAATTGCTGACATTTTTGGCAACAAAGAAGTGCGTGTTTACGCTTTATTATAATAATATAGATATAGCCTCTGTATAGCCTATGTAGATATACCCACACTCATAACATAGCTTTTTAGTGGTGAAAGCTTTTTGAAATCGGCCCAGTAGTTTTAAGAATACAAAACACATCAAAATTAGTTAAAAAGCCAATATATGCAAGAAAAAAACAAATTCTTTTTTCTTTATAGCGTTGAATTTGACCACAGTTTCTTTAAATATTAATATTTTAATTTTCTTTATACAGGTTTGATTGTAAGAAGCGACAGTACAAATATTATTTTCCGCGATCAAATCTCGACTTAGCTAAGATGAAAGAAGCCTGCAGTTATATTATTGGTTCAAAAGATTTTCGTAATCTGTGCAAAATGGATGTAGGAAATGGTGTTACAGAATTTTATCGAGAAATATTTAATGCAAATATTATTCCAATAGACAATAATGACAAAGATCAACGTAAGTTTAGAGTGTCCTTTCCCTTTTTTCTTTTTTAACTATGTTGTTTATTTTTGTTTTTAATTACAGCGACATCTATGTATTGTTTACAAATAGAAGGAAATGCTTTTCTTTGGCATCAAATTAGATGCATTATGGGATTATTATTGCTCATTGGAGAAGGGAATGAAGAACCGGATGTTATCAACAAATTGCTAGATATTGAAAACAATCCGAGGTCAGTAACATTTTTTGTCATTCGAAATACACTCTAATTGTAATCATAGCATTTATTTTTTTAGTAAAGAAATTACTCAATTGAGAAATGTTAAATGTATATTTCTTTTGGACAGAAACACCCAGTCAAAGTTTTATTATAATCAGATTAATTTAATAAGCACATTGACAAACAGGCAAACATTTTATTATTATTGTAAGCTAGCTTTCACCCGCGACTCCGTCCGCGTGGTATTAAAAAAAAGTGAGTAGGCTGTGTTCTTCCAGACTATCCCTACCTATACCAAATTTCATCGAAATCCGTTCAGCAGTTTAGGCTATAAGCTCTATCAAACATCCATCCATCTACATTTTCGCATTTATAATATTAGTATGATTGTGATTATAGTTCTATGTAATGTTTTAGAAAACCGCAGTACAATATGGCGTTGGATATTCCATTAAATCTATTTCACTGTTCTTATGAATTGGAAAACTCCAGTCAATGGATATACGATGTAAATGAACTCAAGTCTGTTATAACAATATTGCAAGCAGATTGGACAATACATAGTATAAAGTAAGTATTTAAATGAGGACCAATCGTGTGATGATAACGAAGTGACGGCTCGTGCCGAGGCACCTGAGGGAGCCCTCGAGCTTAGTTACTCATAAACGACGTTTAGGCTAAGCGCCATCTGCGCTCGGCCACCTTAAACCCGGTGAATCTGTCAATGTTCAAGGCAAATAGTAGCCATTCAGTTACAAAAAAAAGTAAATTAGGATTGAAAAAATGTATCAAACTTGCCCGCGACTTTGTCTGTGCGGTATTAAAAAAAATCAGTAGCCCATGTGTTCTTTTAGAGTATGTTCTATATCTGTCTTAAATTATATCAAGATACGTTTTTGAGATAAATAATAAACATCCATCCAGCCAAAATTTCGCATTCATAATATTTACTAATTGTCATTAAACTAGTACTCCGTAAATAATGCATTTAAATCACATTCGTTACATTTTACAATATCACTTCATTTTATCGCACAATGGCCATAATTTTTATGAAATACTGCTTTTGAATTAAATTACCGTGGAATTAAAAAAAAAAAACTAAAATAAGTAGCCTTTATGTCCTTCCAGACTATCGTCTACATCTGTACCAAATTTTATCGAAATTCGTTCTACTGTTTAGGCTACAAACTCCGACAAACCATCCATCCATCTAAACTTTCACATTTATATTAGTATGATTTAAATAGCGTAGGCGAAAATACACATGTTAGTAAAACCAAACTATTGGCATACAAGCCAGCTACTGGCTTGTGTATTCACGGTATAATAACTAATTGACGATTCTCTGTTTATTACTATTTTCAGATCAACTATGATTCGTGACACTCTCAACCAATTGGAGTTTGAATATAATAGACTTGGAAATAAGGAAGAAAATAATATTTATCAGAAAGATAAAGTTTTGTCTTACACTGACTGTTTGCTGCAAGGCGTTAAACCCAAGGTTTACGTACCTTTATTGAAGAGAGAAACATGTAGTAAGTTTTAATATATTTTTACTATTATTCCATCAATGGTTTGTGCTTATCATCATGGCCTGCAGAACATGGCAGTAGCTGCCTTTATATATGTATGTGTAAACTCCAGTTAGCACGGTGTTTAAGTTCAAGACAGCTACTAGAATATGTGTTAAAGGAACGTCTGGTCAGTCTCGTTGAAATTTTATTGCCATATGTATACTAATTCCGCCAGTAGCTGGCATGCCAGCTAGCGTCTCATTTATCTGCTATTATGTCCTTCCGCCGTTATTCGAGGCCTTGTAAACAATATTGAGAGATGACAGTCTGTCTTCCGGCCGCCATTTTAGTCGTTGCAGTCCTTTTTATCGCTGAAATATGTTTTCCCGCCGGACGCCGAGTTCACCAGGTGGCGAGCAACGCAGCTTGCTTCATTGGCGTCTTGACCTTCGTGCCGCGAACTATCCTAACGCTGCTAGCGTTCGAGAAAATAGATATTTTTAAATTTAAAATAACATCTTAAATAAGTCTTAGAAGTTGTAGTCCAGTGTTAATATTATGTCAGAAAGGGAAGAAAATGTGTGTCAGGCGTCTTCGTCTTCAACAACCAGCGATGATGAAGATCTACAAAGAAGCCGTAAGAGGAAGGCGCCACGTAGAAAAGAAAAGCAGAAAAAGAGTAAGGTATTGGAACACCTTGCCGAACCAGTAAACCAGATACAAAGTTACTTAGCATGTGGGGCCTTTCCTCCACGTGGTTGGAGCCCGTATGGTGTACAGCACCCATCGGTAATTATGAACGTCGACGACCCGTCCTTTGGTCAAGACATGTCTCAAAGCCAACAGACTAACGAGGTACCCGCCGAGTCGACCCTCGAATTTGAATTTGATTTAAAAACTAACGTTAAAGAGCCTACGTTTTCTAAAACGTCCGCGGAACATTTAAAACTTTTAAATTCATTACAACATTTTAAATCGGAAGATTGGAATAATGTGCGGTACTCTGAAATACAGAAATCGTATGTTTCTTGACCAGGGTTCATTGAACTGGAAGTAAATGACGAGATAAAGATCCCTTTGTCGTCAATCTCCGGTTTGAGAACACTCCCCTGGTTGCCACAGCCAGTATCGGTATTCTCGGCGTTGGCATATCGAGTGACGTTCAGTTTCGTGGTCATTTGGAAGACAAGGCCAAGCTGGCCTCTAAAAAGCTGGGTGTGCTCAATAGGGCGAAGCAGTACTTACAGTCGGGCCACCGCCTTCAACTTTACAAGGCGCAAGTTCGGCCCCATATGGAGTACTGCTCGCACCTCTGGGCGGGAGCATCCTAATGCCAGCTTCTTCCATTTGACCGCATACAACGGAGAGCGACTCGAATCGTCAACGACCGAGCTCTTACCGATCGGCTTGATCCTCTGGCCTTGCGGAGGGACGTCAGTTCCCTTTGCATTTTTTACCGTATTTACCACGGGGAGTGTTCCGAGGAGTTGTTTGGAACGATTCCTGCCGCCGAGTTTCGTCATCGGACGACACGACAGACCGCCAGGTACCATCCTCACCATGTTGATGGCTGGCATTCCACAACCGTGCGGTTTTCGCGGAACTTTCTGCCCCGCACAGCCGCGTTGTGGAACGGTCTGTCCTCGGCGGTATTTCCAAACCAATACAACTTAGGGTCCTTCAAGAAGCGAGCCTACAATTTCCTCAAAGGCCGGCAACGCATCTGTAGTTCCTCTGGTGTTGCGGATGTCCATGGGCGTCGTTGACCACCTTGGTGTACACGCCGCTCGTTTGCCCCCTTTTACTATAAAAAAAATAAATAAATAAAACCAAGGTTCGTCAGCTTGGATCAGAGAGACCGTGCAGCTTGGAGACACAACGCCTTTGCATGGAAATGGGATTTCAAACTGGCATGGGTGTTCCCTCCGCCGAATCTTGTCCCGAGAGTGCTGCAACATCTCAATCATGCGATGGGAACCTACATAATAATAGCGCCGAAATGGCCTCAGACCTTTTGGAGAGCCGACCTAAAGTCGCGCGCGATAGCTCCCCATTCACAGTGGACCGGTTAGAAACCAAACTCATAGACATGTCAACGGGACATCCTCCCCCGAAAGTACAGAAAATTACACTAGAAATATGGAAATGTGGGGGTGGTCTAAAACAATTGAGTCTTGGTCAGCTCAACAAAAGTCTCTATTAAGAGCAGGATGGCGAAAATCAACTTTAAATACTTACAGACCCGCATGGACCCAGTGGCTCAGAAGGTGCCATAATTCTAATATTAATCCTACGCATCCAAAGGGTTCGGATTTAGCTCAGTATCTGGCGGACCTCCACATTAAGAAAAAGTTAGCATACAGAACTATTTTGGTGCATACGTCTGTAATTTCAACGCTATGTAACACAGAAGATAGTAGTCGTCTTGGTTCAAATGTTTTGGTTAAGCAGATACTAAAATCCATAGCCACAATCGACGCAATGAATCGCTCCAAACCCAATATTTGGGATGCAAATGTTTTGACGTCCTGGTTGTCTAATAACATCCCACAAGTCCAAAAATTGTGGGAAGTTTCACGTAGATGTGCTATTTTATTGTTGCTATGCTCTGGACGCAGAGTTCATGATCTAACTCTTCTCTCTGTGGCAGAGGGTAGCTTCATAGATGATAAGGAGACAAATTGTTTAACATTCTGGCCTACGTACGGTTCTAAAACTGATTCTGCGTCATTTTCCCAATCTGGTTGGAAACTGCACACCAACAGGGATAATGTTAATATTGATCCAGTCTTTTGGGTTAGAAAATTAGTCGAAATTAGTACCGAAAGGCGCAATGAGGCTAAATTAAACAATCTATTTATAACAATCAGAGGTCCCGCCAAAGCCGCTTCTAGAACCGTGATTTCAGGATGGGCAAAATCTATTTTATCAGAAGCCGGCAATGACGCAACACCGGGGAGCGTAAGGTCAGCTGTGGCATCCAGGGGCTGGATAGATAAGGAACCAATTGATAAAATATTAGCCAGAGCGAATTGGCGATCAGAAAATACTTTCTTTAAATTTTATAAGAAAGAAATAGAATCAATTCATTCTAATTCCAATGTAACTAAATTAGGATCGCTCTTTGAACCCCTAGGTTGGTGTTAACTTTTATAAACTATGTACATAATTTTAAGTTAATAATAGAATTCATGCCGAATGAATTCCTTTTCATTTTTTTTAATAAACTGATTTCTTTCTTTCTTTCTTCTTTCTAAAAAAAAAGTGCAGATTTGTGATATAATGAATTATTATTCATTTTATCACAAATCTGTATTAATATATCACAGATATATTATGATATAAAATAATAAAATAATTATCACATTGGCGTCTTGTTCACCAGGCGAAAATAAACAATGTCTCAATATTGTTTACAAGGCCTCGAATAACGGCGGAAGGACATAATAGCAGAGTTTTACTTACCATAAAAACTCCCGAGCCTTATTCGAGGCCTTGAGTAAATTCTGCCTGGTAGATACTATTATTTAGGTATTGAGACACCAATGAAGCAAGCTGCGTTGCTCGCCACCTGGTGAACTCGGCGTCCGGCGGGAAAACATATTTCAGCGATAAAAAGGACTGCAACGACTAAAATGGCGGCCGGAAGACAGACTGTCATCTCTCAATATTGTTTACAAGGCCTCGAATAAGGCTCCGGACATAATATGAGTTTTAATGGTAGGTAAAACTCTGCTATTTGTATTTCCGCCTTTATGACACAAGTATTTAATTTTAGTTACAAAATTATCAAGGATCATTAAAACAATTTAAAAATTGTCTTGACCATATTCTATTAAAAACAAAACTACATGCCTATACTTATGTAGCATAAACATCTCTAACTGATCACGAAACAGTTCTTCTATATTTAAAATATATATCTTCCCCAAGTAACCCATATAGCTCGACCACCAAAATTGACCAAGTCGGACTTACAAAAAGCCTTACTAATATAGATTTTGAACCAGTGTTCTCTTCTAATGATGTAAATTTTGCAACAAATTATATAATCTCTTCGGTGCACAAGGCTATAAATTTAAACTCAAAATGTATCAACTTTACAAAGCGCAAGCGGATCATTAAGCCTTGGATAACACCCGGCTTATTAAAGTGCCTACGTAACAGAGATAAACTTCATATGAAGTCCAAAAAAGCTCCTAATAACGAAAATCTTAAATTAACTTACTTACGTTACAGAAATTTTTGCAATAACCTCATTAAACATTTGAAAATAGAACATGAAAAAAACGAATTAATGAAAGCTAAAAATAATACTCGGTCTCTGTGGAATACTATAAACAACATCACGGGAAGGCAACAAAACAAATCTCCCGTTACAGATCTATTAGTTAACCATTCACACCCCAAAGATGCAGTTAACAATGCTAACAAATACTTTGCGAACGTAGGACAAAATCTCGCTGACAGGATATTCAAATTAACGCATAACAAACCTTATACACTACACAACCTACAAACCAGTTTAAATTCTTTTGTCATGCTGTCTACTGGTGAAACAGAAGTCGAGTCCCTTATTATGACCTTAAAAAGTAATGCTGTAGGATGGGATAATATCAGTGCAAAGTTTCTAAAACAATTTAAACATATCCTAGTCCCTCCTTTAACCCATGTGTGCAATTTAGCTATAACAAACGGTACATTTCCGACGGCATTTAAAAAGTCCATAATCATCCCCGTCCATAAGAGTGGTTCTAGAGACCGTGTCGAAAACTATCGGCCAATATCTATCTTACCTTCTATGTCTAAAATTCTGGAAAAAATAATAAACACGCGGCTTAAAAGTTTTCTTGAGAATAACTGTCTGTTAGCAAACACGCAATTTGGTTTCCGAACAGGTCATTCAACAGCGGATGCGGTTAATGAGTTAACTGATCGTATATTTCAAAACTTAGATAATAATAAAAAATGTCTCACGGTTTTTCTTGATTTGGCCAAAGCCTTTGACACGGTCTCCATTCCAATACTTATCCAAAAGCTTAACAATATAGGTATAAGAGGCACTCAACT